ACATCTGTTACACGTTTAGAATATACTGATCTATATCCGGTAAACTATGATTGCTACCTCCAGTAATGTGAGATGTGTTATGGTTTCCTTTCGGGTTGAATACCCAAGAACTCCCAAAAAGTGAAAATTATTTATTGGTTATTATTGGTGATTTATTGGTTATTATTGTTAACTGCGATATTCCGTTTATTTTTGTTCTGTGCGTACTCACTGACTTCTCTTCTCTGTTGCATCATTGTTTACGACACATGTGACGTCATGCAAGAGCAAGGCTTGAAGGAAGACACATTTCTGATATTACAGGCTACTACAATTGTGACAATGATACAATTGTGACAAAGATGATATCACTTATTTCATCAGTAAATATTGTAATCAAGATCTGTGTGGCCCAATATAGCAAAGCAAGCACAATATAGCAACGCTTTACAAGATATGCATTGAGAATTCGACATGATCAAGTCAAAAAAATTATTACTGTGATATTATATTTTGGAGTGAAGTAAAGCTAACTTTTCGTTTTCATTCTTGATATTGCGAACCAAGCTCTCGGCCACGTGACTAACTTCCCCTACGCCATCTCGGCTGCTGGTAACACGGCGTCGGAGTTGTAGCTAAGACCGCGGGATTATGGTAGTTTTCCCTGTGCGCCATCGTTTGAGTTATGGTGCTTCCATGCCCATCCCCCCCCCCGCTCCAACGCTTGCTCTCACCTGGGCTTTGCTTTCCCCTCGCGACTGCGGCGCTCCTGGCGGGACTTTGTAGAGTCATTCCTCTCAATTCATCTTGCGGCCTTACGTAGTTTCTTTAATTTGAGGGCGTACTACAATTTATGCTACCTAATTCCATTTAGGTGCGCAGTATAATTTTGTAGATGTATGAGATTCAAACGTAAATTACTTGTTTTTTATTGCTACTATTCTTTACCTCTTTATTTCTCGGATATTTCTTTTCGAGGTAATTTTCATGCACCAGTGACCTACATTATTCCTATCATTTTCTTTTGAACTTGTTCTTTTGAGAGTACGATATAACGAAATCAACATAGATGGTCGAACTAAAAATTATTTTTCCTGCGGTAGAGTGTAGTTCAAACACGTAACAGTTACAGATTTAAACACGATGAAAATAACTCTTAACACAGAAAATATGAAGTCAACAAATCGACAATTACCAATTGAAATATAAATTTTACGATGTGAAATTAAATGCATACAAACTTTTCCTGTGTTACCGTAGTCATATTTACAGAGCAAAGTTATTTTAAACAAATGCGGAGCAGTCGTTACTAATTAGTTGATAACCCAAACACATGATAACAAAATTACTATATAAGGTGGTTGTTCTTTTGGATTCCAATATTTTAAAATTACGATTCCTTCATCTGTATTGATACGTATGTCCAGTTTCCGTGATTACATAGGACTAGGCCCTTTTTGTCGAATATTTATACCATGTATAAGACTTCTAATTTGCAAAATAGAATATTTTATTATCAGACCACATAGAAAATGGATTTCATGGAAATATTCAGAGCTTTAAAGAAAATACACATTAAATGTAAAAAATGTGAACTGCAGTGTAAATTATTATGCACTTTTATTTTGAAGTGTTGATATTTTGACAAAATTAATACTATATGCCAATAGATTTCAGTTACATCTGAAGTCACTTTCAAATTGTCTCGAATGGAAGATGCAATATAATGGTGCATTTCGAAAAATGAAGGAAACATTTTTTCTGATTTGGTTGTTAGTCATTTCAACCATTTTATTTTAATGAGCCAACTCTGAAATGTTTTATGTCTTTCAAGATTTCATTAACCGAAGCATTACCAAGAGGGGATGCGTCTGAAGCTGGCCGATGATTATTTGTTTTTCGAAAGTTTCAAATTTTTACGAACCTGAAATGATGAGATACTGTCATAATGCAGTTTGTCTAGAATATGATACAATGTATCGCAAGTTTTTGTTATATTTTCAATTATTGCATATTTGACCGCGAATTAACTTAATCGGAAATATTCACTCGAAAAAACTAAACAAATTCAGCATAAATATTGGAAATATTTCAGGTATTTTAAGTCATGATATAACATAGTTTAATACATTAATATGTAACAAAAATCCAACGTCCCCCTTTGGTCATTATATTGTAAAAGGTTTGTCCATTAAATAGAAATATTGATGCGAGAAAGTCGATATTTTTTCTATTAACTGAACCAAAAATTCAAGTAGTTTTTTGTTTAAAGAATGCTCAAGTATATTATTAATATAATTTAATAAATGAATCAAAAACATCAAAAACGTAATCTACAAAATATAAGCAGTTGGTTCCGGAAGTCCCTACTTGATAATTCACAAAATCTTTAGTTTACGTTCCTAGTGCCTCGGTGAAACTCAGCTACTACGAGCGGTTTGAATTGAGCGGTTTATATGCGCGCAGTGTTTGCTAGCTTTAAGCGTTTATCTTTTTTAACATTAAGCCTAATTTTTTTCGTACACTATTTCAAAGACTGTTATCGTTTTATACACTTTCCACATTGTATACACTTTTACAGTTAACTTTCTCGTATATTTAACAATGTATGTAATAGACGATAATTTCTGGAAGAAATAATTTTGAACAACTGATGCTGTTTTAATGAGAAGGTGCAATAATGCACAACAATTAAACCAAATTATACAATCCTGTTATCCATGTTCATGCGCTTAAAAGTACTTTACTTCGCTAGATTCCTGGCTCAGAAAATAATGAGCACGTAAATTATTCCGAAATGAAATATTAAGTTTACAGTGTTTGTAGGTGCAATAAATGAACTAAAACACACTAAGAATATTACACGATAAACGGTTGGCTTATTTAGTATCGTCACTTTCATATCAAAAAGAGCTATTTTATTTTCTTGTTCCTATTTTGATACAGACTTTCTTAATGCAAATGGAAGCTCTAGAACCGCAGGCAAAGTAAACTTGCTTTTGTTCTATGATGCAATCTTTTAAGCATTATCAAGTTACATCCTCTGGCTATCTGGTAGAAGTAGGGAAGGAGTAATTATGGCAGAAGACATGAATATAAATTGCAAAACAACCTCGCGTGCCGTGTATTATCTGCATACACTTACTTTTCGTAGATGAATACAAAGCTCTTGGAGTTTTAAAAAGAAAAAGAGGACGATAACAAAGGGAAGAACAAAGACTACAAAGAAAAGTCAAGCGAATTAGACTGAATGGTGTAACTATATAAACATTGCTTACAGCTGATGCACTTGCTGATTTGGGTGTTCTGAATATTTTATGAATTGCTTTCCTTCTGAATTGAAAGAATTGATCTTAAATTTATATAATACAGTTCAGTGGTATCTTACAATATATTTAACTTTACACTAATTCTTAGAAATTAACAGATCATATTTCATTTTTGATTTTTTTACGAAAGGGTTTATGAAAAAAGAATGAAACTCATTTAACATTAATCTCAATTAGGAAAAGTGTTTTAATGTAGAAAATGAAATTCCGACAAAATATACAGTCATCAACAAACTTATATTTTCTATTTTTTTGTAAATAGACTTTTCTGAAAACCTCTCTCCTAATATAACATCATAGTTGATATTTTAATCATTGTAAGAGGATAGTGTAAAAAGAAGTAGACTTCTTTGCAACGCTATCAAATCACAATTCTTTTAAAGAAGGTTAAAAAGATATTTGGATGTAATTGGTCGTGAGCTTGTGCCCCGGGACTGAGAAGGTTATTAGTTAATATCTCAGGTAGTAGAGTTTTTTATGGATCATTTAAGTAATTGAATGCATAAGCTGAAAGTCCAGTTTCAATCACCTACAACTAATAAAATATGCAAATCTAATCACGTTAGTTTCTTTATGCCCAAGAGAAATGCTTTATGTTGCCTGCTGGTAATCTAAAAGTCTATTGATTGAAATAAAATCACTGCAAGTTCATCTGTAAGCAAGGTAGCACAGATATTGTACGCGCTTTGTGATTTTAACTTTCAGCTTTGATGTATCAGAATTCTCAACGCCCGCAGTGGTTTTACATGTAAAGACACAGCAATTAGAAATGGTGTACAAAGAAAAGTTTCTAAGAAGTGGTACTAAATTGGATTGAACAACAAAAAAATCATGCGACAATAACTTATATACACAAGCTATATTTTCTACATTGTACTTGAACTGAAGACATAACGGAGGTCATGTAACCTAGGTCTGTACAATCGCTGTAACCTCGTATTACTTTAGACAACATGCGCTTTTGTTAATCGCAAACTGTGTTGAAATTTGTATCAATCAAACAAAAAAGACTCACCATAGTCCGTAATTTAATTACAAAATGCTCGTCAACGGATGTGGATACCAGTTTTTTTGCCCGGACAGATCAGTTGAGTAGAGCGCGCGGTGCATGGTATTGACGTTATTTATGATATGGCGCTGCTCGTTCAGACTGTTTTGGAGTTTCTCAAGGTTCTGCCTTGTTACATCGCAATGTACATTTATTTAGTGCAAGATGGAATCAAACCCAATGAACGTATTGCGTTGATATTAGTCAGTTGTCACAAAAGAGCATTCTACTAATAATGTATTTGAGTTGGTGCTGCCACTAAGAGTAGGTTTTGGAAGAAATGAATTGATTTAACAGCTTTACATAAAGTTTAAATGTAAATCGATAAGTAGTATTGCATTTAGTTTTTTAATGCAAAATACCATCTTTAATCAAAATACCATATTCGCTGGTAGCAATATCTTTACGTAAAGATAGTTTCACGTTTGCGGCAGGACATCGTAAGTAAACGTAAGCTTTTTCGCGGAACGCTGCGCTGGCAATCTTATCCCGCGTGCACGCACAAATTCCCTTCCTCTTGCCCTCCCTCTCGTGTAGAAATGCTACCGCACCCAACCTCGCCCCCACCTTGGGTCTTCGACAGGGGTCCGACACAATCAAAGGTTCAACGACAATCAACACAGAACAAAGCGAAAGCAACTCACCGTAGACGACCATCTTCTTGGTCATGAAGTCCTCGTCGACGAACGTGGACACGTGGCACTTGTACTCCCCGGAGAGGTCGGTGGTGGGGTTGAGGATGTAGAGCGCGCGGTGCATCGTGGCGCGGTTGTCGGTGGCCTTGTAGTGCACGTTGAGGCGGCCGCGGAGTACCCCAAGGTCCTGCGGCCGGCCGCCCGGGATCCACTGGTAGACGGGCGACGGCCCGTTGTTGAAGTACCACTTGACGACGAGGCCCGCCTCGCTGCGCAGCTCGTCGTTGCGCAGCGAGTACTCGCAGTCCAGCACCGCCGCCGACGACCCGTTGCGCACGGCCGGCGGCACGCGCAGCGTCGTGATCTGCACGCCGCTCGCCACGCCTGCGCACGCACAAAACGCACCTCGTAAGTGGATTAATTGGATTGATATTTCCGTGCACGTTAACCACTGTCGTTTTAAATGTTTGTGGGGTGAAGTGCCATTGGTATTATACAAAAGAGGATATACAAACAAATGTTCTAGTATCTATTGCTATGTGACGACGAGAAATCCCACTCTAAGGTTATGTAGACCATAATGGACGGTGAAGGGATGTCTTCATACTAACCACACGAACCCTTCAAAAAAGTCCTTCGTACGCCTTCCTTCGGAGGGGAAGTAAAGGTGGCTGGCCCATGTTAGTAGATTTACTTGCATGTAAAATATCCCCTAGCCTAAATGACGCCTGTGAGCTAAATTCCAATCACCTGTTTCTCGCCGAAGAAATACCTCCTTCCTCTGTTAGTTGGTGAAAGGAGCGTAGCGAAATTTGCGTGATTAGACGGATGAGCGGGCCCGAGATGCGGGCGGGAAGACGGCCCGAGTCTCGCCACGTAAAATAAGGCATTAATTCAATTCAATTCAATTCAACCTCTTATCCTATGGTCGAGCAACTGGGCCACCGCTGCTCGGCCAAGGCCCGTATCGGGCTGTCGAGCCAAAAGACAGGATATGTGAAAGAAGGGCTAGGGGTAGTAACAATATAAGCCTTTCCAGCCACGAGAAAAGGCTCGCGCAAATCGTAAATGTTGAAATATTGATTTTGGTCGAGCGTGTTTCCAAGTTCATATATTTGAAGGGCTTGCGGATGTATTATAGTCAGCAACATATTGACCAAAACGAAAATATTAAAATGATGGAATAGCGCGAAACTTACTGAGGCTGGTATGGATTATCTTTTAACTGCCATAAGCTTTTCAGGTAGCTATGACTATTAAATCAAGACTTGTTTCATTTAATCGTAAGACATAAATCCTATGCGTATATCACCGATTTAAAAGTTAAAACACAGAGCTTCATTCAGGATTTCGGCAGTTTAAGATACACGGAGATATTTGGATCTATGAAATAGCATGCAATAAACACATAAAAACTATATATTATACCGAATTCGAATCCGCGCCCCTCTAACACGTTCTCAATAACACTCTTTCAATTGCACATTATTGTTAAATATTAGGGAAAGATATTTTTAGTTATTTGTGAGTTGAAGTGAATCAGTTCAAATTATATGACCGCATACGGCCGTAACAGCCTACGTTACTTATGGCGGCAGAATACATACAAACGCACATTCACACAAGCAAAGATTGCATTTTAATTCATTCAATTCATCAGAGTAAGTTTTTCACGATTTAATGACAGGAGATGGCACTACAGAGGGATACAAGTAGTGGACAATCATAACAATAGGCCACATTTGTTTCGTTATTAATTCATGAATTTATAGAAAACAAATGCTGTAATAAAATCATAATCGTATTTCTGGTTTTGCAGTCATGATATGCACGCCCCTTGTATCACGTGCATACGCAAGCATTGCATTCAATTGGAATGTGCACAAGATGTATAGCAGACAACTTTTCGATAAAGAGATAAACGCACTTCAAATATTCTGAAACAGACTTTTGTTTACAATACGCGGAATGTGACTGTAATTGTAAATATCTTGGAAGCACCACAGGCATCTCAGTGATTTTCAGAATATGTTAGAACTCAAGTGTTCGTATGAAATTAAAACATGTTATGCCAGAGCGAAGTCTTTGATCTGCACGTCGCACGTAGCCGACGGATAAATTGCACTCAGAAGGAAAAACCTTGATAAGAAAAGCTCGCACTGGTTGAAGGGCGAGAATGCATTATCGAATCAATAAGAGCATCAATGAATTTTTTTAGAGCGAATTTCTTAGAGCACAAGTGCGTGTAAGAAAGAATAAATGATACAAAAGTGTCCTAAAACTTTGCAATGCCTCCACACTAGTGCATTATTATCAATTATACATTATATCGTCTCTGCTATAATTAGATCATTTCACCTTCTCTATCAGTACGTCTACGCACGTTGCTTACCCACTGTCGTTGCACTCAGAATCTCCCACCTCACTCTCCCACGCGGAAGAGACGTTTATTTCAGAAGACGCGCGAGAGCCATCTTCGATCTTGCACGCGAGACCGAAAAGTTTACCGATAAAGCAGGCGTCGGCCTGGACCGCGGGCGGTCGCCCGACTGGATTCCACAAGCCGCAGATTTCCTCTCCCCCTCCTCCTCCTCCTCGCCATAGCCAATGAATCTCAGTCACTCGCCGTATGCCGCGCGCAAGCTCCAGCCAAAGCAGCGGCCTGGCGACCACGCGCCGAAAGAGAAGCGACCGCCAACGAAAGAAAGGGAAGGACGGGGGAAGAATAGGACGGAACTGGGAGTTGGGCCAGCTGGCGTCCAGCTGTGCTGGGCCCTCGCCGCGGGCGCCGCCGCCCGCAGCCGCCCCGCGCCCGCCTCCCGGCAGCCGAGCGCGGGCCTCAGCAACACGCCATGCCCATCGCCACGTCCCGCCTGTCGCCTGTTGCTTTCTGACACTCCGTCCCCACCGTCCATGTATTGGACCGCTCTTCCCACTTGCCGCCTTTTCTGATCCCTGTCGCGGTTCTTTGGTTGCCTTATTCCCTAAACTTTCCCAGGCCGTCCACAAGTTTCCTGTTCCAAGATTTCCATCCCCCGCCCCACACGTTCCCCGCCCCCACACGGTCCCGCCCCACACGTCCCCAGCCCCACCACGTTCCCGGCCCCACACGTTCCCGCCCCACACGTCCCCGCCCCCACACGTCCCCGCCCCACCACGTCCCCGCCCCACACGTCCCCGCCCCCACACGTCCCCGCCGCCACACGTTTCCCTCCCCACACGCTTCCCGCGCCCCACACTTTCCCGCCCCACACGTTTCCCGCCCCACACGTCCCCGCCCCACACGTCCCCGCCCCACACAGTCCCCACCCCACATCGTCCCAGCCCGTACGCCTGCTGCCACCTATATCTGTGCCACCTATATCCCTGTCACCTACATCTCTGCCCCCTACATCCTTGCTACGTACGTCCCCGCCACTACGTGCCCACTCCCCACATCCCTGCACCCACATGTGTCCGCACTTTCATGACAGCACTCCCTTGTCCCGCACACCCACGTCCACGCACCTCCAAGGCCCCTCCCCCACCCCGAAGTTCCTGCCATTAGGTATTATCACACGTGAAAATACCGATCTCGGATGTCCCCGCTACAGTATGACCCGCTACTACCCGCTAGCTTTGCGACTTGGCAGTTCTGTACCTCTGTCACCTCTGCCACTGCATCCTCATCTGCTTCATTCCACATCTTCCGCCCCTTTCCCTAACCTTCACGGTACGCCCACCGCATGCGTGGTTCGTGCCGTCTCCGGCACATACGCCAGTCCTGGCGTCGCTGCAGTCGACGCTCCAAACTTCCACATCGTCCATCGCGATCAACTCCACGCGAATTCATTGTTTCACGGTCGAAGGAGAGAAGCAGAAGGAAATCGCCTCTATAAGAGTTCTCAGTTCTCTACGGATCGTTAGTTCTGGAGTATTTCCTGAATATTTTATTTTTCTTGGCACGCTTCACAATGCTAAAGCGTGCACGAAATTTTTGCCGTATTTCAGGTTGCTATCACGTATGTGTAGAATGAAATCGTGAGGTCAAATCTCGGTATAAGAGAATATAATTTCTTATGTCTTTCATTAGTCTTTAAAAAGTATCTTTAAAAAGTAAAGTGTACTTGTTTTAACATTAATCTCTGTGTCCAAAAACTCCCCTCAGGTAGATTCTATATAGTATGGCTACGAATACACGAATTTTACAGGTGGCCCAATGTAAAAAGTAAATGTAAATTTAAAAATCATCATACCCTTCGGTACCCAGTTTCAGAGATCAGATTGTCGTATTCTTTGAGATTTTTTTAATGGCAATAGAATCTCTTCTTACAACGATCAGTTAAATTTCTGTAGACTATAAATAACTTATTTCGGTAAATCAATTGTACAATTCCATGGGTGAAATATTTATGTATTTATTAGCATTGTTTACTGGAGAATTGTTATTGGATTAAAAAACAATGGTACACACAAAAGTACACAATACCACATATTTGATCAACATTGTGTATATTTTTACCATTAGAGACGAGTTACTTCACTTCAAAATTAGCTGATTTAATCAACACATGTCTCTGGGAGTGTTTTCAATGTGCAAGACCGCTAGACTGCTATTTTAACTCGTGCAAGTAGTCAGCGTCGATTATTAGGCATTCCGCCCCTGGTCGTTGAACACTAAAGTTACCCAGACGCATCTAAAAACATTCTCGTACTTTTCTATTTTTAATGTGTGAACATTCAAGAGTTTTCAAGCAAAAAGCATTTGTGAAAAATAACTCAGTATTTTGAGCTCTACCTTTATAAGACGATTGAAGAAAATTGTATACTTATTTGCAAAACTTGTCATGATTTAACAAAATGCAAAATATATTCATATTTTTAAGAGTAATAGCTTTGACAATAGATTTCACTAAAAAGAAATAATGAGATCCTAAGAGAGAGTAATATAATGAAACTTTTTCATTACAGCAATATTTAGATATTTTATTGAAAATCGACTTTTACGACATTGAAAAGTACACTTTGCTTTTAGGTGAGGAAAAAACTAAAAGGAATATTTGAAATCTTCAGGGGTCTTCAGTGTGATCAGGTAAATATTCATTTTTAGACAATCTTGTGTGCACTTTAGAGCGCTGGTTTACAAGACTCATTAGTTTACGAGAAAAAATAGTAAGCAAATTTACAATATTTCTCAATATAGTTAGATCATGATTCAGAATATTAACGGTTTATTCTGGAGCAATTTAGTGCTAACGCAACTTATTTATCATAAGATAGAATTTATGTTATGTGAAGCACAATAATTACTATTACTATTCATTTTAGTGAAATACCAAAGTATCTTAATTTTGTTTCTCCAGAGCATCCACGATTAATAATCGCAATATTAACAAATGGATCAATCATTGCCCCGAGAGGAATTATAACAATTGCCTGGTTCACTGAAGTAGAATAAACGAAATGGAATTTTTCAAAACTCCAGTCGACCGTTTTATTTAATAATTCAAAGACGCGAGTGAATAGAAACCAAAAGCTATTTCACAGAATAGGAGTCAGAATACAAAACGAGAACTTCCTGTTCCTCTGTGTCTATTTCGGTTTGCCTTTCCGAGTGTTTACTTTCAGAGTCAGCATCGCGTGCTGAACTTATGCCGTGACCATGCAAGTCTCTACTCACCCGTGCTGGGTGTTGAGTGGAAGGCACAGCCATCAAGTTGGAGTGAGGCTAAGGTATAACGGTTTCACACGGCAGGGTAGGGGCTTTCTAGCGGGGACGCTCTGCTTGTTAACGAAGAGAAGATTAACTCTGGATTGGAAGGTAGTATCTGCATACTTTTTTTCGCTACATAGAAAATGTTAGATGATTTTGATAAAACGACGAGCCAGATCGTATTCCCATTTAGTTATTTCATACCTATTAGTAACAGTATGATAAAGAAATGCATTGTAAAAAACATTAAAGAGCACCAAACAGTATGCGGTCTAATAAGGTAACATGAACCTTCTTGTAAGGAAGCAACTCTCTTAATCATACGTACAAAATCTTACCAGAATAACGAACAATTCTTATTGGACATATCATTCTAATGAAAGGTTTAATCTGCATAACAGTGAATGTTATTTAGTTTCTGCCATAATTGGCAAAAAACTTTAAACCAATTCTACATTCTCCTGTAATAAAATATAGGGATCTCGTTTTTATTGCAAATTCGCGTAATTTTGTATTTGTATATAAATAACGTATAATTTTATTTCTAAACGATACATTCATTTTTAAGAAATTTGCGTAATATGTTCTGGCATTCCCCAAAGCTGGTTAATTTAACTGCTGAATACTATGTTTTAAAATCGACTTGCAAAACGTTCGCCCCGTTCCGTCCCGCAATCATTGTCGTATATACTATGCATACAAATGCAAACAAAATTTGTTGTTGTCGGTTAATTCGAGTATCATAAAACAAGATGCGGTCTTGTCTACAAAGAGGAAGAAACTCGTAGACATTGTATATGACACACTATTTAGAAGTCCACAAAAACAAATACTCGTTCTGGATGCATCATTCGTGGCAATTATAAGGAATAAGTATAATTGCAAATAGTAATAGAAGCTTTATATAGAAACCCGAATAAATGTTTTTTTTCTTTAATTACATATCTCATGTACCCAATGCTTTTACTTCACGCAGTCTTTTGATACAGATTCATTAATTCATAGTCACTAATGACATAAAACTGTCAGTCATACGTTGCAATCCTCATAATCAAAAGTCGCCAAAGACGATACAATTTCCATGCAATCTATACAGCTCAGATTTTTTTGAAAGTGAAAAGTGATGTTCTTCTCATGTGAAACAGAATTCAACATTTGTAGAATCTATTTACTATGCCAATAAAGAAAAGACATATTAGTATGTGGATTGACAACTTATTGTTCGGGTAAACACGAACAAAAAACCTACTTGAATTACTGAAATTCCGTAGCAAATAAAACGACAAAATCAAACTAGTGGTGCTACAGAATGTCAACGACTTTCCCGTACTAGTTTTCTGTTTCCTTTGGTCTCGGTTAGCTACTCGGACTTGCAATACACTCTTGCCAGCTGTCATCTATCGCCACCCAAAGTACATTTTTGATATTTCCTTAATTTTTTTTGTTTTCAAATTGTAGAGCGGTAACATTCTTTTCATATTATTAAAGAAGAGTAAATCCTTGATCGAAATTGCAATTTTCTGTGAAAACTTTGACGGCATTCTTAAGAAAATGGCGTTTAAGCGCTACTGTAAATTCGAAATTTGAAACTCTTTCTCACTCAGGAAAGTTTTGAGTTTCCGAAAAACTTCATGTAAAGTAATTTTAAGTAAGCGATAGTGTTAAGAAAATGATGGAAATGTGCATATCAACGGCGTGAGAGAACTTTTAAACAATTTACTTTCGTGTAATTAAAAAAAAATACACAGAAATACACAGGAACATTATCCGACATTATTTAAAGAATATGTACTTATAAATACAATAATGTGAACAAATTGTTGCAAGTATAAATATTAACGACATGAAAGACTGGTCAATATTAACATTTTTTAATTTTTGAAAAAACAAAAGAGAGCAATATAGTTTTTGTCTCATCGTATAGATTACATTTAGCACGATCACAACCAAAGTTGAAAGAAAAAATGTGGAGCAGTTTTTGACAAAATCTTGTTTTTGTAATTTTTAAAATTGCACATATAAACGCAATATTGCGCGAGAATTGCTAAAATTTTCAAAACAATGTACATGACCTTTAAGGAAGAACTCATTATGGAGAACAAATTTCATTTGTAAGAAAAATCTGTATCTTTAATTTTGTAGTTGTAAGAAAACAATGGAAAAACTTCAGTTTAAAATTTTCGAAAATTCACAGTTAACCATGAAAATTGGACCGATGCTATGTTTATAAGTGTATGTTAATATATTCTTATTAGAAATTTGAAGAAAAAATGAAGCCATATTTGATAAAACAATGGAAAAATTCGGAAGGCTTCATGTAAAGTACTCCCAAATTTTAAAGAATGTTTTTCAAAATCTCAAAGTTTCAACTCGAGCCATATGGACAGGGGTTTCTTTAATTTGAAAAAGAAACTTATATAGGCGCTAGTAGTGTTCACAGACACCAGACAAACGGACGGACGAACGGACGGACTGACGGGATTTTGAAAAAAACCAAACTTTTTCGGTATCTAGGGACACCAAAACGTCTAACTCTGTGGAAATCTCCAAAGCGATTTTCCGCAGCATTACTTAACTTTCACTATACTACGTATATTACCCCGTATATATGCACGTATATGGGAAAATGCAAATAGCCGCAACAATAAGAGAGTGATTACCCTTAGGAAAAGACACGATAGAGAATACCCCCGTTCTTAGACATTATCCAAGGAGTAGTTTACCTCCACCCAACTACTTCAAAAGAGTGTAAAAAACACCGAAGTCGGATTTCTGGAACTCACTGTCTCCGATCTACCAGCTTTCCCTACAAACTCGCAGTCACATATTCTATCTCAGAGCGTCATCGATGACGTTTCAATGGAGAGATTTATTTATACGTGCAAATTCAGTTGGGAGGGGAAGCGATGACGTCACTACTTTGTGCTTCTGTTTTCATCGCTGTGAGCTCACTAGAGAAAGCGTGAGTGAAGGGATTGTTTACCTCGTCGACCAGTAGTTTTTCAGCCATTGCAATACCGTCTGCTGTTTCAAGCGAGGTCTCTAGCAAAACAGTTTCTGCGGAAGCATCGTGGTATGCGGTCAGACGTGATTTATGCCAGGTAGTTACCGAATAGCATGTGTTCTCACTGAGGTTGAAATTTAGGTAGAGGAAATGTTGCTTCACTGAGGCGAGGATTATTTTACACACATGGCTAATTTGTACAAAAGTATAAATACTATAGGGAATACTATTTTGATAAATAATAGACACTACACAAAATCCTATCCGTACGATTTTAATCATAATATTGCTTCCGTGCTCTGGATTCTGAATACGAAGTTCCCAATAACATCCGATTACGATAAGGATCAGACTCACGGAGTTAGTATAATTCTATTGCAATTACGCTCAATCTGTTGCTTGCGACATTATATACTACTTCAAACTCGAATGTTTCATTTGTATGTAAAGAAGTTGACAAAATTTAAGGTACTTCTCCAAAGCTTGTTGCTCTTATGATGTACACTCCAATTCTCTTCTTTCTTCCAAAAAGGGAAAATGTTTTCATGTCGAAACTTTCCATCCAATTTTTATAAGACAGCAGGATACCATCGACTTAGTAAATACTAATGTCAACCTAAAAGTAATAGCTTCTTAACGAAACTTGAATTTTACATAGTGTAATTTCGCATTGGGAAATAGCGCTCTCAATATGAAATATTGTAAATAATTGCATTATTTTTCTTTCATTGCACCTTAAAGGAAGTCTAGTAAACGCAGTCAATTAACATACTAAATGTGTGATAGAATGATATTCAATAGCTTATTCTGTCATCACAACTACAAAAAACAGACTACTGACTTTATTGTTGACTATATTCATTTTTAACTTGTCTTGATGACTTAATTAGTAATCAATATGACTAATACGAATACTCTTTTCTCAATGATTCTACTTGCATTTGGCGCATCCTGCGTTTAACTGTCTCACATTATGATAAAGCCGATGCCATTTTCTAAAATCCCCAGCCGTTATGCTAAAGAGAAACTTCAAGTGTCCACGAGAACATTGTCGAAGCTTCAAACCAGCATGAAAATGCACTTGTGATTCAAACTTGCCTGCGCACACATTCCATGGGGTTTCTGCAACCCACGATAATATGATTTTACGAAAAGAAATTTGAAAATCGCCATATTCATTGATATTTAGAAAACCTTATAACAATTACTTTGTCCACATTAACACCGCTGACCTTTGACATTTCACTATCTCTTTGCTGCAAACCCCTGTAGCGTTAACCGATGATTGCGTGCAAACTTTAGCTTCCGAGAAGGCGAGTCATGTTTTCTCTGGTGATTTCCAAGAACATATCACGCGTGATGTATTATATTGCAACCTCGCTGACAGTTGAGGTTTAAACAGAATTTTGATTTACGGTGTATATTTAGAACGTAATACATGCTTTCTATTTAAGGCTAAACCAGCTGTGATGGACCCATTCCACATCAACCTTCGACGTTTCTGTAATTGGATGGAGGAATTCAAACAGACGTGAAGATAGAGGAATCCATCAGATGGTTCGACAGCCTAAGGAATGTAGCAGGTTCCGTTTCGTCGAAAGTGACACAGAACTGAACAAAATAGAAGAAACTAAAACCAAATGTTTGGAGTGTTTTTGTTTTCGATTCTTGTATATTATATTAGTAAATAGTTTAGAAGACTGATAAAATGTTAAGTTATTTTTGAAGATTTTTAGAAGATCCATAGATATAATTCCATAGAAGTGATTTTTTCTCGAATGTGCTATGGACTACGTTTTTTCAACTTTCTTTCTCTTTTTTCCCTTTTCTTAGCTTTCAAATCTCTTTCATTCTGACCTGATTTTTTTCTTTCCTCTCCTCGGTCCAAGTGGATCATGTCTTCTTTTTTGATTTGTTCTCAAATCCGGTGAGTTTCTTAAATTGAGCCCTCATTGAAGATTACCCAATAAAATCTGCTGGTGTATTTCTGAGCTCGCACATGTCCTTTTCAATGTCTTTAAACCGCTTATTAATCATTTTTAATTTTTTGAAAATGTTAAAGAGTCCTCCAGTTAATTTTTGCAAATGTTATCTCTAAAGATGTCAAGAAGTCCATAGAATGAAATTATTCTTTTTCTTATTGTGTTTCTTTTATTCTTGTGTTTTCTTATGGAATCATGAAGCGATGTAAGAAATGTAATACTTAAAGGTGTGTGTATTCACAAAATGGAGTAATAATATTTAATGTACAATAGCAATAAGACAAATGGGCTTTAGCCCTCAACGTGATATGAACCGGCACCAAAACAAATATACGGCATGCAATACAAAAAACCATGATATTCGATATCGTCAAAATTTATGCGTTTCAGTTACCAACAAACTCATTCAAATAAAATTAAAAAAGTCCACTTAAAACAAGGCAGTAAACATCCCGCTAAACAGCTTTAAAAAAAAAAGTGCGAAAAGCCGCAACGTACACACACAGATCTCCGCCAGGGCGCAGTGGTTCAACGTAAGACCCGCCGCGCCGCGCTGCGTCGGTGTCATCCATCACCTCCATTAACCCCGGGCGGGCGGCAGGCGGCGCTCGAGAGGCGGTCGCGCGAGCGGCCTAATCTCCGGCGGCAGCTTCTCCTCCCGCCCCGCACGGCCACGCCCCTCCCCCCGCCCTCGCAACACGCGTCTTCGCCGCCACACCGCGCCAGCCGACGCGAGGGCCCGACGGACACGCCCGTGCACAGGCTGACACGCTGATCCGAAGGCGCTGGGGTTTGACGGGCGTGGAGGTGAAGGAAGGTTCTAGGGTATCGAAGGTCACGCTGACCGCGAGCTTCTAGGGTTCGAAGACTGGAGGTTAGGGGTTAAGAAGGTTGCAAGGCACGAAATTCCCACTGACCAGGAAGTTGCACACTTCAAAGGATCCAGGGGAGGTGGGCTAGGAAGGTTCTAGGACTGAATTGATTAATTGATTGTTAGTGATTCCGGGCGTGTCAACTACTAAGGTTATTAGACCCCACGTTTTTGTTCGGGATGAGGCCTTCTCCCGTCGGATGACGAGATCCGACGCCGACCTACCGTCGGATAGTTGGGCATTCCCCAACCAGCCGAGACACGCTCTAAGCTTCCGACCAGTCTCCCGGCAGATGTAGCAGTGTAGTGCACGTGTAAGTAGTGCAGGCCTGCACAACGCCAGCTCCCGCGAGCGGACAGATTAAGAAAAGATTCAAATAATGAAAAAGGTCTCATTTGCGGTGAACTCACTAATGTTCAAAAAAATACAAATATAGAAATAATGTGAGAAGTTACGTGCTGCTGTTGTAGCACCACACACTATTTTTACTCTCCTTTCCTGTCACTAAAACGTCTATATCACACTCTGTTGTTTGTTATTTCTCCACAAACCCTCACTTTTTTACCCCATGCTTTATATCAATTCTCTCCATTGTTAATTCAACTCACCTAGAACTATACAAAACATTTTCTATTAATATTGTCATTATGTATACTCCTATTTACAAATGCATTTTATTGGGGTTTGTAACAATGCACGTAATGTCTCGTAGGTCCCATGGTTTGAAGGCCTATGGTAATTTCATGGCAAGAATTTGTATTAATAAGTCCGATTCTTCGGGCTTGGTGAAAGGAGATTTTTTCTTATGTGCAGTTCAATAAGAAATCGTATTGGAAATATTTTTACCTCAATTCGTATAAAACCCATTCATATAACTTTTGAATTGATGATCGGTTGTTTCACACATCTATTCCCAACCATTTTCTTTCTGTCTGCTTCTCCTATTCTTAATTCTTTCTCTTCCTTCACTCCTTCACCTTTTCACCCTTCATTTTTTTCTACTGTTTCCACCCCTTGCTTCCATTCTTTTCAGCCTCTCCTTCTCGTCCCCCTTCCTTATCTCTTAACATCTTTCTCTTTATTCCTTCATCTCCTTAATATCGAGTCTTCTGTCTTACACTTCTTCAACAATCACCGTTTCTCCTGCACCTTACTTCTCCTCTTCCTTCTCCCTCCCCTCATATATTCACTTTTTGTCTTCCGTTTCAACAATAATTCTCTCTCTTCCCCTTTTGCATTTTCGTCTTCTCGTCTTTCTCCCCAAACGCCCCCTTCCGCCGCGCCGGCAAGGGCCACGCCCACGTGACCCTCACCGCTGCGGCTAAGTCGCCAGGTGGGTAAACACAGATAACTGAGCGCCAGCGAGCGAGCGCCCGCGCGCAAGAGGATCAGCCAAAGCTGCAGGCCCGCGGCGCGGGGCCAAGGGGGAACGGACGGGAAATGATGGAGACGGAGGAGACACAAAGAGAGGAGGGAATGGAGTGATGGTATTGGTGAAGTGCAGGTGGAGGCGGAAAAAGGATTCATAGGCAGGAATAATACATTTTAAGGTCTTGGGTGCAACATCTTATACGGAACATTTTGAAAAAATAACGTTGCCAACGGTGTCGGAGCGGAGTGGGCGGAAAGTTCGAGAGGAGTGGAGTGAGAATGGATTCGTAGCGGAAACGAGTCGAGGCCTAGTCTGAGCCGAGACGGGGGCCGAGTCGGAACAGTCTGATTAGAGTCGAAGCAAAATCGGAGCAAAATCGGAGCAAAATCGGAGCAAAATCGGAGCAAAATCGGAGC